AATACCATCCACCAACCACCCGCAATACCATCCACCAACCACCCGCAATGTCCTCCTCACACCACGCGCATTACCATCCACAAACCCCTCGCATTACCATTCACCAACCACCCGCAATACCATCTACCAACCACCCGCAATACCATCCACCAACCACCCGCAATGTCCTCCTCACACCTCCCGCAATACCATCCACCAACCTACCGGAATACCATCCACCAACAACCCGCAATACCATCCTCACACAACCCGCATTACCATCCACCAACCAGCCGCAATACCATCCACCAACCACCCGCATTACCATCCACCAACCACCCGCAATACCATCCACCAACCGTCCGCAATGTCCTCCTCACACCACGCGCAATACCATCCACCAACCCCTAGGAATACCATCCACCAACCACCCGCAATACCATCCACCAACCAGCCGCATTACCATCCACCAACCACCCGCATTACCATCAACCAACCACCCGCATTACCATCCACCAACCATCCGCAATACCATCCACCAACCACCCGCAATGTCCTCCTCACACCACCCGCAATACCATCCACCAACCACCCGCAATACCATCCACCAACCACCCGCATTACCATCCACCAACCACCCGCAATACCATCCACCAACCACCCGCATTACCACCCACCAACCACCCGCAATACCATCCACCAACCACCCGCTTTACCATCCACCAACCACCCGCATTACCATCCACCAACCACCCGCAATACCATCCTCACACCACCCGCATTACCATCCACCAACCACCCGCAATACCATCCACCAACCACCCGCAATACCATCCACCAACCACCCGCAATGTCATGCTCACACCACCCGCAATACCATCCTCACACAACCCGCATTACCATCCACCAACCACCCGCAATACCATCCACCAACCCCTCGCATTACCATCTACCAACCACCCGCAATACCATCCACCAACCGTCCGCAATGTCCTCCTCACACCACGCGCAATACCATCCACCAACCCCTAGGAATACCATCCACCAACCACCCGCAATACCATCCACCAACCAGCCGCATTACCATCCACCAACCACCCGCATTACCATCAACCAACCACCCGCATTACCATCCACCAACCATCCGCAATACCATCCACCAACCACCCGCAATGTCCTCCTCACACCACCCGCAATACCATCCACCAACCACCCGCAATACCATCCACCAACCACCCGCATTACCATCCACCAACCACCCGCAATACCATCCACCAACCACCCGCAATACCATCCACCAACCACCCGCTTTACCATCCACCAACCACCCGCATTACCATCCACCAACCACCCGCAATACCATCCTCACACCACCCGCATTACCATCCACCAACCACCCGCAATACCATCCACCAACCACCCGCAATACCATCCACCAACCACCCGCAATGTCATGCTCACACCACCCGCAATACCATCCTCACACAACCCGCATTACCATCCACCAACCACCCGCAATACCATCCACCAACCACCCGCATTACCATCCACCAACCACCCGCAATACCATCCACGAACCACCCGCATTACCATCCACCAACCACCTGCAATACCATCCTCACACCACCCGCATTACCATCCACTAACCACCCGCAATACCATCCACCAACCACCCGCAATGTCATGCTCACACTACCCGCAATACCATCCTCACACCACCCGAATTACCATCCACCAACCACCCGCAATACCATCCACCAACCACCCGCATTACCATCCACCAACCACCAGCAATACTATCCACCAACCACCCGCATTACCATCCACCAACCACCCGCAATACCATCCACCAACCACCCGCAATACCATCCTCACACCACCCGCAATACCATCCTCACACCACCCGCATTACCATCCACCAACCACCCGCAATACCATCCACCAACCACCCGCAATACCATCCACCAACCACCCGCAATGTCATCCTCACACTACCCGCAATACCATCCTCACACCGTTCACAATCTCTCTTTCAGCTCTATCAAATCAAGTAGCGTGGCGTTAATTAATACTCATGTGTTACTTAAAAGAATTATCTATTTAACCTTATGTATTACTTTATTTCTGGACATATTAGTCTACCCAACACGTACCCCACCTTTCTCTCTGTCTCCTCTCAACGGCCAATATTACATTAATAAAACTCATCATCGGACGGTTTGCTTAACATTTGATCGTCTTGTTGAGAAACATTCTCTTGAGGACGAAGGTTTCGTGAACGGTTCGATGCGAAGCAAGAAATCGGCTTAATCTACGCGTTCCGTTGATGATAGCAGAAAGCCCGGTGTGGCCTGTTGTTTGTGCGTTCGCCCATCGCGGACAAGACCTGAGTTCTATTCCATATATCGCGTCAAATTGTCTCTGAGTGTCATTAAACCATTAAGCTGCAGTGCCAAACTAGGAGTTCTGTTTACGGTAGACTATCATCTTTTATCTGAAATGAACATATCTTACAGAAAAAAACAGTTGTTAAATTATCTTAATAAAAAAATAATAAAAAGGAGCCCAGTGACTCTCTTCATTTTCAGATCCAGACTTGATCATTTACAGACCTAATACTGCAGTAATCTAGACTTGCCAAACATTATAGACTTGCATGGGCTGTATTGGATATGTTTGTATCAGGGTTCGTATGACTGACTACGTTTAAGGGTAACACCAGTTTCGGGTTTCAGCTCGGGTTCGTGTTTTAAGGTGATTAAGGACACGACAAGGGCGGGTGTCTCTGAACTCACTTCAATCCCTAAATAAGCCTTGTGTGTGTGATTGCCTCCTCACTTCCCCATGCTATATGTATTTTATCATTGTGAGAGAAACCGAATATTTTTTGGGCTACAGAAAGCAGAGACAAATGAACCTTTTAGCCTATAAATGTTTGGTTGGTAGAGATTCCCCATTAGCCGCACGTACGAAAGTAGGGTTGTTGAGGCAATACATGGTCTCGGGGCACATCGGCAGGAGATAAAGAGCTCCTTTCAACAAAGCGGTCATTGGACAATGCTGCTAGCTCGCGACGGTAGAGATCGCATGGGGTCCTTTTAACACTAGAACTACACGTTGATAACTCTAGGGCTGTACGACTAATCGGCAACCCAAGGATGGGGTGTCGGGGTGGGGTGTGGGGGTGGGGAGTGGGGATGGGGAGTGGGGGTGGAGGTGGGTAGGGGGGTTGTGGGGTTGTGGGGTTGTGGGGTTGGTTGACCTGTAAAGTATTCGGGCTTTGAGTAAACTACCAACGCTCACACTGTTGAGTATGTTAAGTACAATACCGTTAGTCAAATATTATTCATACAAGTTAAACAACCTAATAGTTATCTTAATGACCATTTAACAATGAATCCATTCCCTTTCGTCGTGTCAGGCAACTATTTTGCGGGTGGACATATGTGATCATTCATACTATCAGTTCTCTATCTTCTGTTTTGACACGCTTATTGTATATTAATGGGACGGAATTCAGCATGCTTTTGAATGCTCATGGTGCTTTAGAAGTCGCAAAAACTGAAAACACGTAGACAGCTGACCCTGCAGACCGTTCTCAACCACTCTTTGACCGCCTCTAGTGGCGAGGGCGCCTGCCCGGAGAGCGGAAGATCGATGGTTCGATCCCCTGGCCGCGTCAAACCAAACGAGGCTAAAAGATGGTACTTGTTGTTACACTGCCTGGCGCTAAAACAAGGAGTGGTTGGCTCGACGTCAGTATACTGTGCCTGAGTGGGGTATTCATGTTAAACTGCAGTATGGTATCTCAGCTAGCACTATAAAACCGGCATTAGTCCGGACTGGTACAAACAGCCACACACGCGCGCGCCAGCATGCAAATCGCAATATAAGTACAATAATCTTGAACGCGACGTTAGACCCCATTTCACCCCGGGTGTCTATACAATTTAAAATTTTACACATACTCCGTGTTTCATGCAACTCATAGCCTACCCGGAAATGTTGACGATGAAGACAACTTATCATCACGACAATGTCAATGATTCAGACAGAACAAAGTCCACTACTAATAAAGCGCTTTAATCATTTAAAAACAAACAGAGTAATCGCGGTTTTCTTTGAAAATGTATCAGTCACGTGACACCTAAGTTTCAAAACTGATCCTTTGTCTTGCATCCCCTCAAACAAGTAGTGCCTTCCTTGCCGTCAAGCCAACCGAAACGCCTTTGTGCCGGGTATTTAGCACGCAACTGCCTCTCGCTCAGGGACAACGGCAGACGGCCGACGTGCTTCGAATCGGACAAAGGCGCGTGAATTGTGATGTCACTTTATGTAAGGTCGGGTGCACGTGAGGGAGGGGAAATTTTTCGGGTGAAGGTCAACATTCGTTTAAGGTCAAGGTTGATTATCAACAAAACGAAATGGATGACCTTTCAACTGAAGGGGTACTTTAGCTCTCAATGTTAAGGGTCTTTTAAACTATCTTTTGTTACAGTTGTAATAGCACGTAATGATCATATACCTGTCGAGGGATTTTATAGTGTTTTGTGACACTGGGTTTAGAAGTTAATTAAATGAGCAGGTGTTTAAATTAAACCATGAAGAATTGAATACTTAAAACACTTGCTGACGTGTCACATACTCTCGAGTACATGTGATGCCAAGATATAAGATGATTAAAAACACCTTTGCGTAACGATCCATAGGTGGTCATAGAAACGCGCCAAGAGTATTCTCAATTTCACGCACTGAAACGTACAGTCTACAATAAACACTAGTTCCCTCCTATCGCGGTCACGCTGTAGACACCTAGCGGCTAAACGGACGGCTCTTTGTCCTGGACAGGGGATTTGATTGTACATCTTAATAATTAGCGCTTATTGGAAAAGCGAGGTGGAAGGACAATAGATATACATGAAGTCCGCGTCTAGTTTTACTATTCCATTAAGATCATTTTTCAGGTATTCTCAACAGACGCTGCAGAGACAATTTAATGCATATGTTGAGTGAACACCGAGTACACAATGGCCGTAATAGCTTCAGGTCTCCTGGGGTGATTGTAGGGCGGGGTTGAAGAGCTGAGGACTCCGGACAGGGCCGAACACTTCTGAGAGTCCGTTGAAGGAAAGTTCAAGCAGTAATCACAGCTCTCGGCAGCTTTGTACAGCTACTGAAAGAAACGCAGGATTTACAGCATCCGAAGGAGGTGTGTAGATCGCCTTTGTACTGTGCAACAGTCTCTGATTAATCCAGAGTTAGACATGTTCAATAAAACTTTGATCTGATGTAGCGGGGACGGCCACGATATACAGGAAGGGCAGGCTTTGATGATTGGAGGCCAATTCTTGTTCACTGTTAGACTGAAAACGTGAACACTTCACACCTACAGACTGATAGCCTCCCGCCAGTGAGCGCGGCAAACTCTCCATGTCGTCTGCTCGGCTATATGTTGCGGGGACGCTCGCCTCTCGCGAGCCCATCATTGATCAATAGACAGAGTTTGTTATGTATGGAGGTAACACCGATATGATTTAGAGCTTTAAAAGTAGCCAAGCTGGAACAGCGGACGGGCGCTTTAGCCATTCGGTATCGTCTGCTGCAAGGGCGACCACTTGCTCTCCGCTCGCGGGAATTTGAACGGGCGTTTATCTCGCTGCTACGTCACAGGGCAGGAGAGTCGTCAGCTTGTCATGTGTTCGGTTGAATGTCACATCCGACTGGAGCACTTCTTAACTAGGTCAAATTCCGACTACACCATATGAAGCGAAGCATGTTGTGAACTGATCACGGATAACGGTGGAGTTTACTTTCCGGGGATTTTCCAATGCCTAGTGAGCGAGTGTGACGAAATCGGTGTGTCCAGTCATTCAAGTTTGTCAGCGACATGGCCACGAAGTCGGAAAAGTTAGCTCTGTCTATTTTCACCGCAGTTCTGTTGCTTGTGGGGTTTGGGCTAGAACTTTCGGGCTCGTTTGTCCCGATGTGGACAGCCCCTGTTAATAAAACAGAGGGCGATGTGAGATTTAGTCTGTGGACTCGCGTGGAGTGTTTCGATACTATTTGTACAACAAAACAGCTTAGAATAAAGTGGGAGACAACCGAGTGTGTGGAAGAAAATGGACAGGAAAATTGCAAGAAAACGTCTGGATACAAAACCAAGCCCAAAACTGAGTGCAGGAAGGCAGACTATTGTAACAGTACTTGGCATCACGAAGAAGGTAAGCATTGTTAACTTCTCTCATTATACAAGGATTTGGACATTTAACCGAGTCCTTTGTTCAAACAAAGGAGACAGCCTTGTTCAAACTTTATAGGATGTTGTTCGAGTTCACAGAGTTTGTTTACAGTTCAAGGAGGGAGGGAGGGAGGGTCGAGACAGTAAGGGGGTGATCGTGGTAGAGATTAATTAACTTCATATAACTGTCCTGTCCGAAGGGGGGGGGAGGGCGTGTATTGTGTCCGTTGGGGTGGATTTGTGGGTGCCGTGTAAAGTATAAATTTACAAATAATTTTAAGAAGTGAAACGCTTTATCACTTAATTACTTGATTATAAGTCTAAGAACTCTCTAAACCCATCTTCATGTCTTAAAATTAGGATGACAGTGATTGCTCAATCGTTGTGAAGCGGATGTCTATCGCTTATATTAGCGTACGTATTTCCTAAATTCGTACAAATAAGGACCGAAGCGAGTGACTATCCCAGTTTAAGTAGAAATTCCTGTTTGCGCAATCGTGAACTGATAATAGTAATATTCCTTGTCAGGTTTAAAAAAATTTGGTTTGAAGTTGAAATATTATTATCATTAAACTGAACTTAATAGTCGCTATGTTAAAAACTTGCACCTTTAGGTACGAGTTTTGGGTAAATGAAACAAATTATTTAATATATAGGTAGATATGTTACGTAAGCCTATTTGGTCACATATGTCTGTTACAGTATAATATCCGTGATAACTTATCTGTGTTTGTCTAATACCATAAATTTATATTGATTTGAAGTAGCCTTTAACAAATTATACTAAATATGAATCTGTATGGTACGAACCCGTCAAACACTACCGACGGTACATCATTCGTTAAAACTCAGGCGAACATTAGTGTTTGTTGAATCTAAGCAGAGACCATATAATATACTATTATATGGTCTCTGATCTAAGGTAAATGTTCAGAAATAATTCTGAGAAATACCACTGAGAATTCTGCGCTGGGCAACAGCATCTTGTTTGAACAGGACAAAAGTCTGTCTTCCCTATACTCGCTATCAACTCACGTTCACAAATGAACACGAAATGAGAAGACCGAATATCTGGTTAACTCGGCCCGATTATGGCCGGCGTATGAATAATCATGCCCCTGATCTGTGGTTGGGGCGCTTGTGGGATCAAGGAAAAGCCAATTTTATGAGCCCCTCAAAGCTGTGGGTACGCGGCCCCTTTGAACTGCGAACACGCACCCCTTCCCACCCAAGCATAACGGCTTTTAACACTATCACAGAGAGCAGCTTCGTCCCAGACTAGTTTTTGAAATAGGAATCAAACAACCGAGGTGTCGGCCGACTCAAGACTGTCTTAATTCAGACACTCTGCTATTTTTGGGGGTGGTTGTTTTTTTGGTTTTTTTTGTGTGTGTGGGGGGGGGGGGGGGGGGGGGGGGGGACAGACAAACAAGAAGATATGCAAATCCTGATTTTCGCTTCTTTGTTTTGTCGTATTTAGATTAACAGTTCAGAAAGTACATGTGACATTAAAGAAAGTTTCTACCCATATATATAGAGCGATGTCATCCGTCGGCAAGTTAGATGGCAATTTCAACTTGTCACACATCTTTTTGTCAATATTCCTACTTTCATATAAAATGAAACGCTAATGCTCCCTGTCCTCTTCTACAATAATGATTATCTGTCGTCTTTAATCTTTGAGGAGGAGCGCCATCATATCCTAGGCAATTTGGTAATGTGTGTGTAGGCATTATACCAGCAGATGGAATACATGAAGTGAACGTGCTTCCTTTTCAAGTTGAAGATCTTAAAAGGTGTTCGCCCGTCACTCAATCTTAGGTTTGATTTCCCGAATGTCTATGGTACCGTCACTATTTCACGAGCCACCTTTGCTGACTTTATGCCTGACAGATTCCAAACAATAAGTTCTCGTTACATCATCCGTTCCTCGGAGACTGTACCTGCCTTTGATTGAGAAGTATAAGAGGTCGATTTCCTATGTTTCATGCAGTTAATTTATTCATGTCAGTAGACGGTCTTTACTGGCCCGAGACAAATTGAACTATTTGATGATGTTCTCAGAAGCAGTGTAAATAATTGAACTCAGTCTACCAAACGGAAATAATCAGAAACAATCGGTGATGCAGTTAGGCAAGCAAATTAAGATTCGCTCTGAATGAACGACCGACGAATGATGAACAGGTAGAAGTAACGTCGATCGAGGTTAGACTTAGTTGAGAGTGATATGTACACCAAGATAACGCTATGCCCTTGGGGAAGAGTCGAGGCACATAGCGTCCTTGTCACCTGTGCAGTATCTGAGTAGACAGGTGGGACATACCTGTAGGGCAGGTGTGCTCGTTTACCTGGGGCAGACTGGGCCAGACAGTCAAGGAGGAATGTATTGCTACGAACATGCCAAATATTACACACCTGAGCGAAACAATGGGTATTTTGACGAGGGTTCGCGTGTAGTGTTTCTGCTATTGTTATTTCCGATTCAGAATGTTTATCAAAGCATTACCTTCATGTCTGTCTATACACGAGTCGACATGTTGCAAATCAACACTGAATACAATGGTAAAGTTAATACTGCATCGAAGACTGTAGAATATATTATTTTATTAAACCAAAGACAATCTAGATTATTTAAAACAAGTCGTGCTAGGTCTATTCCTCATATGAATTCAGCACCAGCAAACAAAGTATTGTTTCAGGGGAGAGAATTTTATTGTGAAAAGTGATATTTCATAGACTTTACAGTAAACTACGCTTATAACGAACTGACGGATATAACGAACACATTTTGGTCCCGGCCATTTGATGTATATATGCTTATGACGAACTACGGTTATATCGAACTGTAAAATCAGCGGTCCCTTCCATTTGCTGTATATATATATATATATATATATATATATATATGCTTATGACGAACTATGGTTATATCGAACTGTAAAATCAGTGGTCCCTTTGAGTTCGTCATAGCCGTAGTTTACCGTAAATGTTAGCCTATAGTGAAGTAAACTAATTTCGTGAGGGTTTCAACTCCCGATGTATAGTAAATGATACTATCTAGTAATATTACTATTAAGGAAGTACAATAATTTACCTTAAAAAACGAATCTTAAATTAAGCCAAAATGTAATATTTGTTTAAGTTGTTTTTGTAAAAAAGGTTTTTCACAAACTCAAAGACATGTGACAGATCTAGAGTTTCTGTAAGCCTTTGCCCGGAACGTTCCCACACTCAATGCAAGTCACCCGTGCCTCCAGGTCGCATCTCTCGACCATGAAACATCAACTTTCCTGTTTACTAAACAGCTTCTCGGGCTGAGTATCAAATATTCATGCATTGAAAACAAATTAAAATAGAGATCGTGGATTCAGCACCAACTGCCTCCGGAGTTCTTGAAGTGCAAATTCAGAAATATTTAAACAAGCATATATAGGAAAAGATAGAGCTTAAAGTTCGTACTTTATAAAAACAACAACAATTGTATAGATTATGTTACATAGTTTCATAGCATATTGCCCTCACTACGTGCAAAGCTGTAAGTGAAACATTTGTTTTCATCTAAGCCGGAGATAAGGCATATTTGTCAGCAGTTTCCTCGTCCTCCGATATAACGAATCATGACGCTGACACTTACCACTTGACCTCTTTATAAGGCGATAGGCTGTCACGACAGCCATGTCAGGAAGCACGATTTGAATATTTACACTTGATCGTAAAGTGTATACAGAAACCGGCGCAAGTGAGCGGGGATTATTAATAAATAACCAGTTTAAGTAGCATCCGCAAACACTACGTTTACCGATGAAAAATAAATCTCAACCCACATCGCTGATTAACTTGTAATGACCAAGGTTTGATACTATTGTTGTGTGTAGCATTCGTTGTTTTTTTGTGATAAGAGAAGACAGACATCAAAGTGCAGGCAAGTGCAGCTGTTCGGATCAGTGTGTGAGTGAGTGGTTGTTGTGTCCGATGCAGTCAGCGATGTTCTGGTATGGTAATCTGGTCGAAGCTAGACAAACCAATGGTTGCCACACAGCCAGAGCCAGCGATGACTATCGTAACTCCCATACTTTACCGTGGACTTAAGGCCTTACGACTAGCATTGGGTGCTGGGTGTCCATTCTGACCAGAACCCCATTTGTTTCCGGGTTGCGACCTATTCAAATCGTCACTGTTGGATAAACCAGTTGTTACCTTAATTTGAAGGAAGTCTTTCACTGACATACAACAAAATTACAAAATACCGAAAAGAACAGTAACAACCCCCCCCCCCCCCCCAAAAAAAAATAAATAAAAAAATAAATAAATAAAATAAATAAATAAATAATAATAATAATAATAATACATAGAAAATAGACCAAAACGTAATAAAACAGATTAGCCTACCCTATTTGTGGATGGGCTGAAATAGGAAACTCCTATGTATATATATTATTTTTTGAAGTGAGAAGTTGTGACACGGTAATAAACTTTGCATCTCGTCATCTATATTATCTGATGATTATTAATTATGTCGAAGACATTTCTGTCGTTAAATGACGAATAAACATTCGTTCAGCTCCCTCAGATTGGAAACTTGGTTCATAACCTCATTACTGTCCAACTAAATAGTATAATTAGCGTATACGCCCACACAGGACTGTTAGTTCGGTGGATAGAATGGGTGTATATTCAAGTACAGGAGTTTGGGGCCCTGATTAATCGGACTGTTCATGTCAAACCATGTGGCGAATTAACCACAAAGTTAGCAGTGCTGATTTATCGGGCTGTTGAGTAAGCTACTTCATCGTGACCCCCGTATTGCTCGGAGCTGTGGGATGATGTAACCGTTTGGTCAATATCGACAAATACACTTAGATCATGTAAATATACACAGGGGAAACTGATTATCTGTAGAGAGCCGTGTGAAATATGGTTTACGATCTACGGGGTCAATAGTGAGGGTTGCAGAGGAATTAACACCGAGCGTCCGTCGAGCAT